ATGCTAAATAATTTTACCAGCTAGGACAGTGTTGACTAAAAGCAACAGAAAACTGACTCAGCTGCCTTAAACAATAGGAAAAAAATTTTTTATCTCAGCCCTAAATCATGATAGTTCCATGATTGCTTAAAACAGTGACTCTGATGTTAAACACATACACACCTCCATCTCTCCATGACGCTCTTTAAAGTACGTCAATTTTATCCTCCTTAATCACCCTTGTGATACCAAGGTGGCTGCCTCAGCTCCATGCATTACATCCAGACATGACTATATACAACGGAAAAAGGAGTCATTTTCTTTACATTTATTGATTTTCATTAACAAGAAAAAACTTTTTAGATTTCCCCTCATAGTTCATTGGCCAGAATCATACCACATTTTCATGCTTAAAGCAACGCTGTTGTAGAATCAGACCATCATGAATGGGTTAAAATAGACCAGGTGCTTACAACTTCGGCATTACTGACACTTGGGGCTGACTAATTCTTTGCTGTGGGAGCTGTGCATGGCAGAATGTTTAAAATCATCCTTGGCCTCTACTCACTAGATGCCAGTAGCACTCTCTCCAGTTGTGACCATCAAAAATGTCTCTAGACATTGTCAAATGTCCCCAGGTTGAAAACCACAGTGATATACTAATTAAGATTTCCCTTTGTGGCTGCTATGAGGCCCAACTCCCCAAAATATACAGCAGCACAGAGACAAGGGAACATCTGAACTAAATCAGTGTCTTTCAGGAAAGAAGCCTATGTGAATGAAAAATAGTCTTAAGTAAGCAACCAATAGTATTTAGTTCAGTAATTCTGTAAAAGGGATAGAAGCAAATATAAAATATGAAATTAAAATCCTGCATTATCTGAAACAAAACAGAGGATGAATGAAGGGCTTTAGCAGGACTGAGGACTGCCAGTACATCGCTACTCATCAAGCACAAGGAAGAATTATAATATGCGATTTACTTGACTTATAGAAGCATGCTGTTAAACATTAATTTTTATTGTGGCTCTGTACATACAGTATTTAGCCCCCAAGAACCCTGACTTGGTTCACCCTGGCTGTGTGAAGCGGCAGATCAGCTGAAAGCGCTATGTCCTCTATTAATATCTTCTGAAGTCATACACGAAGACGTATAATCCTCCTAGAATATAATTTATTCTGTGTCTTGGTGTTTTCATATCTGCAGCTTATGAATATAATTTCGTTTTTACAGATTAAATCATAAGCTTTGAAACTCAAATTTATCTCATTATGAACATTATATTTGCTGTTTTAAGATTCTTTTTCCTCTAATCTCTTGATAACAAGGCCATAGCCACACTCTCTCCAGCCCTTTAAATGGAACCGGTTGTCTCAGCATCTCCAAGAGCCCTGCCCCTGCTTACCCTCCCCCGACCCACACTTTTCCTTCTCTCCTTCCCCTGATTCTGTCTCTCTGGCTTTTCCCCACTCTATGTATCTGTTCTTCATCCACTGGCAAACTCTTTTTGGATCCCTCTGAAGACTTTTCATGGCTGCCTCCCAACCTGGCACACTCCACTTCAGCTTGACCTGACCCACAGTTTCCAAAACAGGCTGTCCCTAAACTGGACCTGAGCAAACTCAGTGGCCAGTCTAGGTCCCTGATCTCCTTCCATCAGAGGAAAAATACTTTTCTATTTGTAAGCATCAGAACATTTTTATGGATAAAAGGAAAAGGCTACCCTCACAGGCTGCAGGTAACAGCCTAATTGAAGAACTTGAATCTCTAATCCAAAATACTACATCCATAATTCTACTTAATCTTACATAGCCCACCGGACAAGTTCCAAGGAATAAATTCCATTTATATCTATATTGTAAAAATACCATAAGTTTACCAAGTGTTTAGGTGTAGTATCCTGAACGTTCAGGGACTTAGATGGTTAATGGAAATGAAAGGGTCATTATTTTGCATTGGGAGATGTAACCCTTCTTGACAGAGCAAGCAACTGTAGGTTGTAGCCACTGAATGTGGCTACATTATAAAAACACCATGCTTTTAAATATTTGATATAAAATAACACTGCTCAATAACAAATTCTGGAGGTACCTATTCCTTTAAACCAAAGTTTTTTTTTTCCAGAAACCAGTATTTTTAAAACAAGTATTTACCCCATGGGATTTAGAAAATAAAGACGGATAAACATTCTCTACAGGATATTTTTTCCTCTTTCATTTACTGAATGGCTTCAAAAATCCCGCTTCTGATATGGTACAATATTCAGTATTATTAAATGAAAAAGGGGGGTCAGATAAAGCGATAGAATGGCACCATCTGTTTCAAAATAAATGTTTTATGTAGAATATAGAGAGATGATAGACAGACAGATAATAAATTAATAGGAACATGCTTGAATATAAAGAAAATTTCCAGAAGAAATTTCAAGAAGTTGATAATAATCATTGGCTCTAGGAAGGAGACTCACACATTGGAGGATGAAGGGAGACCTACTTTCCACTGTTGACCATTTTGTACTGTTTAATTTTAATATATTTTCAGTGAGAGTCAAACTGAAACAGACAGATGACACACAAACATGTGTGCGTACAAAGTGGGTATGTAATTCTAATCCTAAATTCAATTTATGATTTATGTGACCTATTAATTTTATAAAAATATGTGTCACTGCCATTGAAAATATTAACCCCAAGTGTGGACTATCTCAACTTATTAAATGTCTTTACTTAATTAGACAAATTTATATTCTGTTTCCAAATAAAATAAAATAGAAAAAAACCTACAATTTTGTAGCCTGGAAATTCGATGAAACATTTAAAGTAATCATAAAGAAAAATAACTTATTTTGCATGTTTCATCTTATGAAATTTTCTGTAGAAGTGATTTTAAACAAATTAAAGTATATGAGATTTTTCATTAAGATTAAAGTAGATTATAACATTAAAAATATTGTCCTCTATTGAAATAGTTTTCCTCAAATATAGCAGGTAACCAAGAAACTACAGAAAGAGTATTTTCTTAATCAAAGATAGTATGGTCTACAGGGAAGTATCAATTGAATCTGATGACAATTCCAAGTATATTAACCATAAGGACAACTTGGAAGATGATTACAGGCAGTTTTATGAAAAAATAAATATAAGATCACATTGAAAAATGAAGACCAATAATACCAGAGAAATCTTCAGAAAAATATTAGCCACCTAGTATAAGAGACAAGTACAGTTAAGAAACTGGTTAACATTAATATATACAGAAAATAATTTTAAATTTTTGCTATAATTACATAAATATATTTTAAAGATTTTTACTTTTGAGAATAATCTTTAAAAGAACTATCTGTGATCCATTATACAAAAAGACCAGTTTTGGCTGACAAATACATATTTCAAAATATTACAAAAAATTATATAATTTTAATGGCTTTTATTACCTCCTTTTACTCTCAAAGTTGTCCTGGGGTAGAGAATGTATTACACGGTCACACTAGTGGGAAAGAACCAATGATGCTGATCAGCTCAGATACCTTGGGAACTAATTTCACTACCCCTTAAGTACCTGACTTTCTCATTCTCACTTACCACCTATTAATATAGATAATATGCAAGGAATTTAACAAGGATGTCAGAATATTTTGAGATTTTTCTATCAACCATTACCAGTCAAGAACAAGGTGAAAGCTTTCCCACTCTCTTCAAGAGGAAAACTTAGGGATCACTGTCCAGCTATTTCTTTGCTTTATAAATGCTGGATTTAAAGTTTAAAATTGTAGGTCAAGTTTACTAACCTCCAGCAGGAAGGATTCTATTGAATAGCATGTTCCAAAGAAAATTCCCTTTGAGAATCCTATCTAAGGAAGAAAGTACAATAAAAAAATATACAACTCAGTAGTACAGTTAAAGAATAATACAACCTGGCTAAAGGGTGCTTCTCTCTGGATCACAGGGAAGATTCACTAGGAAAACTATAAATTTACTACATAAACTGAATACATTTACTCTCCTGTATACATATACCCATCTTTATGCAATAAAATCCAACATTCCTGCTTTGAAGATATGTAGTATAGGAATAATAGCTACTTTCTTATAGCAAATGAAACCAGCACTACGTCTCAGGTTGAAACACTAGATGCATGTTCCCTTTAATGTCAGAAGGAAGATAAACACCATCTCCACTCTGGTAGTACATTGATTAATATAATGAGTAATTGAAAAAAAAAAAGAGAGAGGGAGGGAGAGAGGAAGGAAAAAAATTGTTGAATACCCTAGATGAAAGACAAGCCAACTTTTTCTGTAAAAAGCCCAACAGTAATTATTTTAGGCTTTGCAGGCCATACGGTCCCTGTCTCAGTGCTCCATCCTCTTCGCTATTAGAATGTAAGAAGTAACTGTGGACAACACGTGAGGAAATGGACATGGCTGTGTTCCATACTGTAGTCTCTATCTGTGGACACTGAATTTTGAATTTCACATGATTTTCACCTGACACAAAATATGATTAGTTTTATTTTCCCCCCCAACCATTTTAAAATATAAAAGCCATTCTTAGCTCTCGGACTGTAGGGCCAGATTTGGTGACCCTACCCTAGATCACTTTAACAGTAATTAAGTCCAGGAAATAGAACTTGGGGTGGGGAAGGGCGGGAGAGTGAGTGTGTGTGTGTGTGTGTGTGTGTGTGTGTGTTGGGGGTGGGGTGAGCATGGACAAGGCAGTACTGGTAAAAGGGAAGAGAATTTTACTTTTTGTTTTGACACAACTTCACACTTTAAAAATGTTTTACTATAATCACGAATTAAATACAACATTTGAAAAATCTATTAGCTAAGTATAAACCTATCTAATGGCCTGGTTTCCTATTTTTTGCAATGGTAAGGTAAAGGATTTTATAAAGAAGACTATATATATACACCAAGTCATCAAATTATATAAGTATTAAATTTTAAAGCAGCATTTTTATTTTTTTCTCTCTTGGGAAAAAAAAAACTGATCTCTTTAGCTGTTAATTATGTTCCTGTAAACAGAGTCAACTTTAGGAATTTCTATTTGCTTTGTATCTAATCTGCAAGCCTCACTGACCTTTCATCAAGAACAATGGTGCACACAGTTCCTACATTCATACCGCATCCTTCCCGCCCCCCCCCCTTTTTTTGGTGTTGAACTCCAGCCAAACATTAAATTACCTTGGGAAGTAAATGGTGGAAGAGTAAAAAGCACAAAGACGGTATCTGGCCTCCTTTTATGAGGACACTCAATCTTAATTTAGAGAAAGAGAGAAGAGTCTTTTGTGTGTGTGTGTGTAGCATGAGAACTGGAAAGAAGTACGAATTTTTCAGACAAGCCTATTTTTGTAAGTTTGCAGGTGGACTGTGCTCTTGTTTCAATGCAGGTGGGGCTGTAGATCAGGGTGGGGGGGGTGTTTGTGTGAGTGCACATGTGCACCTATATAAATCCACACCCATTTTTAAACCAGAGACATCCAGAATACTTTCAGCAAGAGCACTTACTAGTTCAGGTAAGCAAGCAAAATTTCTAGATTACTTAGTGATCAAGCTCTGCTATATTTAAATGATCAATTTATTGCTATTCCAAAGGGAGGTCTTCAGTAAAACAGTAAAAAAAAATTTTTCTTCTTTTAATAAACTATATATCCTTCGCTGGTTTCATACTTTTATTCTCTACTTAGATTAATGATATAATAAACTAACATTGACCAAGAATGATCCTTTAAAAATTATGCTGCAAGTTAACAATTATTCCTCCCTTATACATTGTAAGTATGTAATACTTTCAGTAAATTACTTATGTTAAGTTACTTTTGAAAAGGAAAATACTAGTGTCAGAAAATGCTAACTACCAGTGTTTATAATACCTATTGTTGCCATTTGGTTACTTGCCTCTGGAGTGCACTGTTAGCTGCTCCAAGACCATAACCATGTCATACTTATCTGTGTCCCCCAAGTAGCTTAACTCACACATCTGATACTAGAAGATCATACATAATTCATGTTCTATTTCCTAGGGAAATTTAATGTTCATCCAAAATAAAAAAATGTAAGTTGACTGGCTTTGAAATAGGGTATATTTAATATCTATTTTATAATTTATCAATGTTAAACAGAAAACAAGATATTCTGATTTTAAGAACACCCTGACAATAATACATAATAATTCAAAATGTGAACAAAAAATCATTTCCTATTCACTCTAAATTTGGCAGCTTTAAAATAGGAAAATGGTAAAGCTACACTTTCTCTCTTTTGATATAAATTCTACCTACTTATCTCTGTTTTTATCATAGAGAACTTCTTCTAATACATCCTCTAGATTAACTTTTTCTCACTCTTAACTCTTTACTTTCAGAGATCCCTGGAAGAATCTTAAGGCAATTAGGGACTCTCTTACCCAGGAAAGAGAATGAAGGCACATAAAATTTTAATACAGTTTCAGGGATTTTTGAGACTCTGGTAGCCCAATTCTAGGAGACCACTGGACCCAGGTTAAGACCCTGCCTTAAATGGTTGTTTCAATTTCTCCACTGCAACTTTCACCCTGACAGAGGCTGCCCTCCACATATTGGACTTGGTGATCCAGATTCAGCTGTCTTTACTCCCTACTAAAATCTACCCTTTCTTTGTCTCAGTCCAGTCTGTTTCTTTGTTATGGTCCAAGGTGACGTCCGTAAGGTAAAAAACGGCATCCTGCAATGTTTTATGGTATTAGCAAGTTATATGAACTTAAACTGCACTCCTTATCAGCACCATGGTTATTGTTTAACAGGGTTTTTCGATGCTTGAATTCAAAGACATTAAAAAGTGGGTACCCTGCAGATTCAGAAAGAAATTAAATAGGACCAGACCCACCATTTTCAATCCACAGGAGGACCGAAGGGATACACTGCTGGCAAGAGAAAGATAAAATGAAAGGAATTATTGTTAAATAGGGCAGAGCTGTAAACTTAAGCCTTTTGAGGCAGAGTAAATGATGGAAGGATGAGAAAGATAAGTGACTACAGAGGAACCGAAGAACAAGAAATCTCCATATTCTATTTCTCCTCTGAATTCAACTAAAGCAGTATTTGTTCATGCCTAATCTTACTATCTTGGTATAGAATTAAAATGTTGTTTTAACCTATTAGATCAAGAAGAATCAAAAGGCAAAGAATCTTTATGTATGACAAATGTCAGCTTTCCATTGCATTTAGCAGTTGCAAGGCTTTTAAAATCAACATGATCTTACTAGTGCTGTGAGCGCTAGAATACAGTCAAAAGCAGGCTTTGGGTGCCAGTTTTCTTTCAACTGCCTTCAACTTATTGCTCCCAGGAGACCCAGAATATGGCTTTTCATCAAGGGGATATTTATTGAGTTGACTGTATTTTTAAAATATTTTCAAAATAAAATGTGAAAGTTCAAGGTAGTTTTACCATGTCAACTCACACAAGCAGAGCCATGTGTCACCATAGGTTTGGTCTAACTCTTAACAAATGTCTTAGCCTGAAGTAACATACTGGATTTTAAAAAAAGCTTTTTTTTTTTCTATCATCCAGCTTCTTCTGAGAGATTCTCTAGAAGACATGATGTTACACTCAGCTCTGGCCCTCTGCCTTTTACTCATTGTGGTTTCTTCCAACCTTGCCATTGCAATCAAAAAGGAAAAGAGACCTCCTCAGACACTCTCAAGAGGTACTGTAATCTCACTTTATTTTCCAAACTCAGTCATTTGGATTGTTTTACACTTCCTCATCTCTTGCCCATAGACTAGTTATAAAGCAAACTCAGTCCACTGAAGTAGGGGTTATGTACCACTTCAAAATAGGGGGAAAAAAACCAAAACAGAAACAATCAATAATTTTAAAGAGTGAGCCAAAAGCAACTGAAAAAACAGTAACAATTTACTGCATCTTTTATAGAAATAATGGAGAAGTAGTTTTGCTGCTTATAACTTTGGTAACCAGAGTCCTCAAAAATAATATTAATTGATATGTCACAGGCGTATCCTAAAAGTAATCAGGATCCCTGAAAATCTGTTCCAGTTCCCTGTCCTCTATTTTTCAGGCAAGAAAATAATTTGGAATGATTTTACACTGGGATGCCCAGAAAATTACACTTTATCTTCATCCTCCAAGAACTTTGGTTAAACAAGTGTTTGCCATGTTGACTCCACAAAGCAGCTGCAGGAGTTTTAGAGGACGTAATCTAGATTTGTCATTGGTTACATGTTTAGAAAATATTTCTATTTTGTACCTACTGTTTTACTTTGGCCTAAGAAACAATTGTATCTTCATCTATAATGAAATATTTCATAAAGAAAATTCTCAAAATTAGTTCCTACAACTCCAAGTAATAGAAATGGAGACAAAATCAGTTGTCTCCACACAACTAATTCTAAACTAGTAGCAGAAACCAAAAAATACTTGACTGCTACTTGGAATGGTAATGTGTGAATGGAGCAAACAAATGAACACCAACTGTAGCATAATTTCAAATTTAAAAATATTGACTTTCTTACCAAGTTAATTCATTCCTTAACAGATGTATTGGGTGTCAGCCAACTGCCCATCAATGTTCAGCCAAGATAATTAATTCTACTTCAGTTTAAAAATCACAGAAAATATCAATCTAAAAAAATCAGTAAGTTTTGGTAAAATTAATAAAAGAGGGAAATATTTTCTTAAGTAAAATTTATCATATATCTCCATACATAAACACAATAGTTATAAAACAATGAACTTAGTAGCCTTAAAGTGCCAAAGACCAGATTAGTCATTGCCCTTAAAGACCCTTGAGGGCTGAGTTAAATACTATACTGTAACTGTAATTAAGGTACCAACATTCTGGGTATTCACTTTCAAATGTCCATTAAAACTATTTAGTGAATTTTATGAAAAATATACTCTGTGTGCAGTAAATTTTAAACAACTTGATGAGCCTGCTATTCAGTTAATATGACTCCAGTAGGGAAGATGCATGAGAACAGCTAGGAACTCCATTATTAAGAATTGGTTTCCATGTGGTTAAGCATTGTACCATCTAGTGACATATGGGAAACAACTGAGAGAATAAAGCTCAGAATGAATGAGGGTTTAAGGTGGGGGTGAAAGCAGCACATAAAGCCCATTAGTACAGGGAGCAGCACCAAACACTTAAACAGAGAGAATGTAAGAGAAAATAGAGAATATTAATTGAAAGAAAAAAGTAATAAAAACCAAGAACAACAAAAAATGACTGACAAAACCTTAACTTCCTTTTGAAGCAAAGGAACTGCTCTGCACCCAGCACCTGGCCCAATGCTTGGCATATAGTAAGTACCCAATAAAATACATATCGGAAAATGAATAAAACCTCAGAAGACAAGTAACTACAGACAGTCCTGGATTATGAATTATAGTAATGAACAGAGACCCTGCAGAGAGTTTAAGTTCTGTACCACCTTTGGCCTGATTATGAAGGAAAGTGTATAAAAGTAACTAATACAGTATGACTGCCCTACAAAGCTATGAATTGTTTAAGAGCAGGGAATATACTGTCTTACCTGTGTACACCCAGTGCTAAGTGGAGTAAGGCACACAGCAGATATTCCTTTAATGTTTGTGGAATTAAGTTAAACAGGAGCAGAGAATAGTAACTCTTCCCATTGCTGACGTTCTGGCATTAAATAACATTTGCAACAGAATAGGGTAATTAAGTAGGATCTGAGTTCCACTGGCTGTTTCTATAATAATTTTCGTCTAATACAAAATATGGCATGAAGTTACTACTTGTGGTCCAGCAAAGTTGTAAAGAAAATCTTTCAGGATTATTACAGATAGGAAGGCTTCCTGCTAAGGTGAAGGTACTTAACTAACATAAGATGTTGTCAATCTTTTTCACCTGTAGACTAAGACGTTTCCTGAAAATACTTTGAAATATTTCCGGATGTTCTGTGCATTCTTCTCCTCAATGATCTTGTTCTTCAGTCTGTAAGATACATTCCCAACTACTTGTATCACTTTTAAAGGCAAGTGGGTTCTCTCTCTTCTTGTATTGTTTCCCTCTCCTCCAAGCCTTTGCATGCTTCCTAAACAACTGTATTTCATTGCGTCTCTCAACCATGAAATTCCTATACCACATTTTTTTCCCTGTTAAAATTCAGTGCAAAATTTGAAATCTTTTTTTCATGAACTTTGAAGGCATCAACATCTCTTGGCACTCAAGATTCAAGGACACTGTACAGTCCAGTCCAAAGTATTCCTGACAGGCTTACAAGATATGCAAAGATTAACTGTTATTTTCTCCTGTGCATTCTGAAAAGAAAAACTTTTGCATGGCCAGAGCTGTCCTTTCAATCACCACTAATCATAATGCACCTATTAAACATTTACTGGGTTCAAGACCATAAGCCTCGAAATTTGAAACAGTCAAAAAATCTCAGCACTATTATCTAAAAGGACACAATCTCTTCTTATGTAGTTATAATTATGTATCTTCTATACCACATGTCAGACAACTGCTTGGTAGCTTAAATATCTGTAGATAGATACCTGCTTATCACGTGCCCATTCCAGAACTCTTTGGTGGTCCTGAGCTGATACACTGATTTCTCTCTTTTGTTTTAGGATGGGGAGATGATACCACTTGGGTGCAGACTTAGAGGAAGGCCTCTTTCATTGTCAAAAAAGGTAAAACACCTCTCATTTAATTTTGACAGAGGATATAGATACCTCCTCATATAAGAGCCAAAAATTCACATGTTAGCTTTTGAAAAAATACAGTAAGAATTTGCTCTGATGTTGTATGCTGTCTGGACTAAGTGTTGCTGTTAGAATTTTTTTTTTTGTAAATAAGAGCTCTAAATACCTTTGTATTAATTTCTTAATTACCCAAGCAAGCATTTTGTATATTGAGGAATAATTGACCTATTAACATTACATTAGTTTCAGGTATACAATACAGTAATGACTGGATATTTATATATTGAAAAATCACCACAAGTCTTGTTAACATCCACCAAGCAAACTTCTGAATATAAATTACATAAACAAAACAGCATCACTTCTTGGGCAATATACAAGCTTAAACAGAAAACTAGTTTAGAGCAACATTTCTCAAGGCTGTCTGATCATCAGAACAATTAGAGATTTCTTTGAAGTCCATATTCAGAGTCAGTCAGGCAAGTGCTTACTCAGTATCCATTGCTATGTGCCAAGCACTATTTTTGCACTCAATGACCAACAGTGACATGGTTTTTATCCTTGAAGATCTACAAAATCTTTGGGGATGGAGCTGAGAAATTTATATTTTTAAGAGTGCCTCAAGAATTTATCAAATATCTAAAGAATGGTCAATTCAACTCTTTAAAGAAAAAGGAAAGAGTCCAAATCAGAATTGAGTAAAACACTCTCAACACTAGGCAAATACTAAAAAAAATAAAAAATAAAGAATTCTACAGAATAATCTTATTTCCAAATAGAAATGTAAAAAACAAACAAGGTATTAGCAAAAAGCAGCCAGCAGAACATTTAAAGAATATATTCTGATAAAGTGAGATTTAGTCTGAGAATGCCAAAAGATTCAAGATTAAGAAATCTATTAATGAAAATAATTTAAAATTTATAAGGACACAAATCACACAAGTATCTCCTATCTCCGTAAATGCTAAAAAGGCATTTAATATAATGCAAAATCCATATTTGAATTTTAAAAAATTATCTAATATTAATTTATTATTTATCTAAAAAGGAAATAATTGTCCAGCAAAAAGCCAACATCATGCTTACTGGGAAAGCAAATTAAAGTATCCCACTGTTGGATTCTTTAATCAGCACAATTACTAACACTGTTCTCAAGATATTAACAAATATAATTAGATGAGAAAAATTAAAAGTATAAAACTTGGAAAGGAGAAGGTGAAAAATCTTCATTTGCAGATAATGACTATGTACATGAAAAACCTGAGAATCAACTGAATGTATTCAGAAGTATGAAGATTCACTTAAATTAGATGAGCTTAAATTAATACCTGGAAATAAACAGCATTTACATATAAAAAATTTAAAACAAAGGAACTTATAAAATACCTTATTTCAAATAGCAATAACAAAGATAAAATGTCCTAGGATAAGCCTGACAGAAATGTACAGTATCTATATGAATCTAAATGTACTACTGAGGAAAAAAATTACAAACCTATGAGAAGGGATATTGTGTTGTTGATAGGAAGACTCAACATCATAAAAATGTCAATTCTCTCTACACTTAAAAAAATTTTAAGACAACCACCATAGAATGCTACAGATTTTTTGAAACAATTGTAAAATTGATATGGAAACCGACATAAATAGGAACATTCTGAAAAGAAAAATCAGGGGAACTAGCCCTTAATATGAAACATTTTATAAAACTATAATAAAACAAAATATTACTGGTAAATGAATTAAATAGAATGGAGAGTACAGAAATAAAACTTGATACTACAGAAATTAAACACAATAAAGTGGCATTTAAAATCAGGAATAGGGGAAACAGTATGTAAAATAATCGTTAGTGAGAAGTTGATGGCCATTTGTGAAAAATAAATAAATTTGAATCCATACCTTACATTTTATATCAAAATAAATTACAAAGATTTATTTAAATGAAATCATTAAGGTACTAAATGATACTATTGCAAAATGTTATTTCTTTAAATTCTTGGAGTAGGAAAGGGTGGATATTAGGGTGTAGGATGAGGGGTGTCTAGGATGCAAAAATAAAGCACTTAATTTTGAGCTCTAGATGCTACTCCTGCCTTACCCTAGACCTCCTTTAAGCTTGAGTATGGCCAAAGTAAACAGAAGGGGGAAAAGGACAATAGAAAAATCCTGAAATAAATGACAAATATTTTTGATTATGTGAATTTCTACACACCCAAAAACTTAAGCAGAAGAAAAAGACAAAAAACAAAAACAGAAAACTATAGCACATAAGGGTGAATTTTTCTAATAAACAAAAAACTCAAATTATTAAGATAAAGGTCAGTAAGTCAATGAGAAAAAATGAACAAAAGATATGGAGGATAGGTCATAGAATAAAAATAAGTAACCTAAACATGAGTAAGAATATTTTTTACAGCTTTATTGAGATATAATTGACATATTAACATCGTACAAGCTTAAGGTGAACACTGCGATGACTTGATATACCTATATATTGTACAATGATTACCCCATTAAGGTTAATTAACACATCACCTCACACAGTTAACTTTGTACATGTGGTGAGAATTTTTAAGATGTACTTCTCAGCAATCTTTAAGTATACAACACAGTATTGTTAACTCTGGTCACCATTAGATTCCCAAAGACTCACTCATAACTCGAAGTGGGTACCTTTGATCACCTTCACCAATTTCCCCCATTCTCACAACCCCCACCCCCGGAAACCACCAATCTACTCTCCATTTCTGAGTTTCAGGGTTTTTGGGGGGTGGGGGGGTGGGGAGGGCATTATTTGTTTAAGATTTCAGATCCCACTAGGTGAGATCATACAATATTTGTCTCTGACTTATTTTACTTAGCATAATATGCTCAGGGTTCATTCATATTGTCACAAATACGTTGACAGACCCATTGTTTCCAAGTCTTGGCTATTTAAACAATACTGCAATGAACGTGGCAGTGTAGATACCTCTTCAAGATAGTGATTTCCTTTCCTTTGATATATACGCAGAAGTAGAATTGCTGGATCATATGTTGATTATTTTTTCTAAGAAAGCAAAACCACGTTCACCTCCCTCTTTTCACCTTTTGGATGAAAGAAATTAAAAGCTTGCAGACCAGTTTTAGTGAGAGGAAAAAGTTATCTATCACACTACCAGAGAGGATATAAATTGGTACAGATCCTATGGAAAGAAAACACTTTCAAAACATACATCAAAATTACAAATGTGCACTCCCTTTGACCGAGAAATTCCACCTCTGAAAATTTATTACAAATATGCCCATCCACATGCAAAATTAGATATGAACAACGTCATGTTCATCAAAGCACTGCTTCTAAATGTTTAGAAACAATCTAAACACAAAAGATTGAAAACAACTTAAATATGTATCTTAAGGAGAGTAATAAAGATCCAGATAATGGAATAATATACAGAAGCACAAGGGAATGATATCCAAGGTATAACATTACACTAAAAAAGCAAAATACAAATACGAAAGCATAGTGTGCTAATATTTGCATTTTTTAAAAAAGGATTATATACATATACATACATATGCATATACTTATTTGGTTATATGACCTGAAAACCTCTGGAATTAAACTCAAGAAATTGTAACACTGCTTACTTCTGGAAGGCAGGAATGCTAGAATTTTTACCTTTTTAACTTTTGAATTCTAAACCCTCTGAATTTCTAATCAGTTTTAAATGAAAAATACATAGAACTTTAAACAATAATTTACCAAATGATGCTGAGAAGCAGCCAGGCTTGGCTCTAGTTTTAGGGCATCTCAGAAGTACAGCTAACCAGAATTTTTTCTCTCAACTCACTTTTTTCACAATCCAATGTGCTGTTTCATGAGATTTTAGACCAGGGACCACCTGTTTTTATTTAGTCTGCAAGTCAAGGTTGATTTTTCCATTTTTAAATTAAAAAAAAAAAGAAGAATATTTAGTGACAGATGAAAGTCACTTGAAATTCAAATTCCACGTTATAAATTAAGTCTTACTGTAACACAGCCACATTCACTTTTTTTGTTGCACGTTGTCTATGGCTGCTTTCCTGTAATAATGGCAGAAGCGAGCAGTTACAAGGAGACCACATAGCCTGCAAAACTTCAAATATTTTACTATCTGCCTCTCTGCCTAAAGTTTGAGTCCTTTTTCAGGCATCCCTACTTCATTGTGAGCCAGAAACAGAAGCACTTCTTCCTTTTCCCCCTGCAACAGAATACTGTCTTGGTTTGCATGTCTAAACAGCCCATTCAAAGCTGAACTGTTAAGACTGAGTATTCTGTGATCTTGATACATTTTTCCTTGGACTCCAGTTGCCCCAAAATCTGATGCTGAAATTGGTTTTCCAAGAGTTACATCAGTATCTTTCTCTATACATAGCTGTCCTTGTTTCCAGCTGCCATGCTAGGAGGAAATGGGAGCAGTTCAGGAAATCAGAAATGACTCATGCCCTGAACTGTTCTGTGTCTCAGGACACTTATCTACCTAAGGCAATCAGAGCAAGAGTTGTTATCTAGTAGAAAGATTACTACTTGGTGCTTAGGAGGTCTAAGTTCTACATGTGTTTCTAAAAAAATGTCAGTAAGTATTGTTAGGCTTAGTTTTCTACCAACAAAAAGGGGTAATGATATGTCATTCACCAGGTATCTAGTCTGCTTTTTCACCAGTAAATGTGAAGTTGCTGGCAATTTTAGCTCTTTCTGTTATAAATTTTAAGAGGTAAATTGTAGGATTTAGTCTTATCTAAAGTTAACTTACATTCTAAGTTTGAGAATTGAATAAAATTATTAACAATTCATAAATAAGTTTCTACTGTATAGCACAGGGAACTATACTCAATATTTTGTACTAATCTATAATGAAAAGGAATATGAAAAGGAATGTATGTATGTATGTATGTATGACTGAAACATTCTGTACACCAGAAATATACACATTATAAAGTGACTATACTTCAATAAAAAAAATTCACTTTGTTATTTAGCACTTTTGAGACTAAAATTTAAAACAAGATTATTCAATAAGTATTTCACATGGTTACCTCTGTTGTTTTTAAAAAGATTTGTGCTTAATACATAGACACTAGTCTATCGCTTCGTGTACCCAGCATACTCTCAAAATTAAATATTTTAAAAAAATCTTATGTATCCAAATCACAATTATTTTATCCTTCACTGTAGCTAACATTCTAATTTTTCTCTTACACTAAAGAGCAGGGAAGTCAATTAGTTACCACAAAAACTTTTTCCAGAGAGTTAAAATAAAAATGACACTGAAAAATACATATGGGAGCAAACTCTCACTGAGACTACTTGTACTTTGTGAGTTGTGACAAGAATGAAAGGAAGTGAAAATAGTCAAATACTAATAGCCTTTTTGTAAAACTGAAAGCAGACAAAAAAAAAACCTAAGTAAAAATTTTGACTCTCTTAAAATTTCATACCAGATGTTCACTGGAAATGAGTATCTTATTCATAACATCCTTTCATCTCTGGAGACAGAATTGACTTTGATGTTTCTAACTGTACTGCACTATACGTAAGAATGACCTGGTGAGTTTGGTAAGCTAGGTATTCCTGGACCTCACTCTCAGAGATTCAGACTGAGTGGACCCAGGAGAGGGCCTGAAAATTTACATTTCTAATGAGCTACATTTCTGGTAAGGCTGATGCTTCAGTTCTGGGGCCATGTTATGAGTAACACCACTACACACTGCAGTGCTGTGATTTGTCAATCTGAGATTTTTACCTTTAAATCTTGTTGCAAGTATGAAAACCTTAAGTCTAGCTTCACTGTACATTGTGACTCAAAGTTATTCATTTGGTTTAATTTCACACTCTCTGTGTTTAGTAACAAACCATTGATGGTTACTCATCACCTGGAAGATTGTCAATACTGCCAAGGTAATTTTTGCTCCAATAAGTAGTAGAAAAGTGATCTGATTATATAGTGTTAAGAAAGCACTCGGCAACTCCAATTTAAAAAAAAAAAGACAACTGTTAGAATACCACCATTTTACTAAGGTGCTTTAAGACTACAGTGATTGTTAACAATCTACTAGTATATTTATGTCCCTTAGAATTTTATATCCCTCTTCCTCCCTCGCTTCCCCACCAGGTGGGAAAAACTGCTGAAAGAATATGTTGTTTTAATCAATGAATGACAAGAAATTATAAAACTAGTGGTTTCATCAATGCAATTATCCCTTGATGTCTTTTTGGATAGACTCTGTCCCTCTTTGCTTTCCAATGAGAGACAAAGTGGCAATGGGCCAATGAACAATTTACATTCAAGTTACAGATGTAAGTGAATGCAAAATACTAGTTTAATTTTGCTACAATAAAAAAAATAAAACTAACTGGCTTTACGTTCTCACCCACGGCACTAAAAAAAAAGCATTTGCCCAAAATAACGAAATACAAGAAATGGCTCAGAATACTTTCATCATGCTGAACTCATGGTACATGACCTCAACAATGTTTTCTTAGTATCAAAATTCAATGGAAAAGTTGATTCTCTTTTTTGTCTATTTTTAATGCAAAAGAACTATAAAGTATTAGTAAATATACACTGTTACACAGAATTTTAAGAGGCCAAATATACGATTTACTGAAAATCTTGTTCATGTAAAGTATCATTTAAATCCACCGTTATAAACAATCCAATCCAGTAACATTCATTTTCTTCTTCTTTTGCTAGCATGAGACCACTGATAAGAATTTATCACCTGATGGGCAATATGTGCCAAGACTCGTGTTCGTGGGTAATTGTGTAGTCTTTTTCAATCAGATTGACAAAAAAATAGCCTTCTTGTCTTTATTTTTAAATGCTAGTTCAATTACTATTCTTTTTAAAGGGAAATCATTAGTCACCCTGTCAGTAATAGCTTACGTTAGTTCAACCATTTAATCCATTGTATCTGTACTCTGCAAATTATAAATACTAAAATTTTAAATACTTTTTAATTAACTGATGCTATTAAGTCAATATCCCAATGTACTTTCAGTACAGTTCTCTACATTGTGTTGACAGACAGCTGTAACACACTAAAATTAGAATTCAGATTAACTCATCATGAATTCACATATATGAAAACTGATTTTGTTTATAAATTTCCTTAATGTTTGTTTTAGAGCAACTGTGGCAAGAATGATTTTCTGGACATTTTAAATAAAATACAACTGACTTTATTTTTCTTGGCAGATCCTTCTGTAACAGTCAGAGCTGATATAACTGGAAGATACTCCAACACATTAGACACATATGAACCTCAGGATTTACCGCTATGTAAGTATTCACAAGTTATCTTAAACAGTGATACCAGCAACGCTGGACTGTTAGAAGGTCAGTGAAGCCCTCCATCAGTGCTTCTCCACAAACAGTGCTATCCCCACATCACAGTCACTGGGGTGGGTATTGGTGCTAGCGGTTAAAATGCAAACTCTTACCTCCCACCAAAATCAGAATTTCTGGAGTACCTCAGAGTAATTTCTGCAGTACCTTTTATTAAACAAGGATATCCAATAGTTCTCATAGTAAATGTTAAGTTCACCAAACAGAACAGAGTATACATTAAAATTAAACCTTAATATATATAGACAAATAAGTTTATACTATATAGCAGAGGGAATTATATTCAGTATCTTGTGGTAACTTACGGTAAAAAAGAATATGAAAACGAATATATGTATGTTCATGTAGGACTGAGGCACTGTGCTATACACCAGAAATTGACACAACATTGTAAACTGACAAAACTTCAATAAAAAAAAATACAAAAAAATTCAGAGCTTAAGAAAGCCAGTCCATTCTGGTATCATATGTGATTTCCTCAAACTGATAATTAAACCTTTTTCTCTTCCTTTAATGCTTATAAGCAAAGAGGTACCTTCTGACTTGGGAGTTTAATTTTTACAATAATCACTATCAACTATGCCTAATAAGAACTATGCGATACTGATACAAAATAATCCGTTAATAAAATAGATACTCCCTCAAAACCCCATTGATAAAATTGTTTAACAGAAGAAAGTTGATTCACCAGCTCTAAATGGTCTAATCCCTAAATTTACATGTGCACTTTTAGTATAATATTCTTTGATGTTGCAGATAAGTTCCCATGTATTTATAGCTGTTAATTTAAATTGGCCAATTGTAGATTCAGGGGCTAATAGATTATAACATTTGATACCTTCATTCACTAAAAAAAATATATATTTACTTTTACTACAGTGATAGAAAACATGAAGAAAGCATTAAAACTCATTCAATCTGAGTTATAATGGATTATCCCTAAGAGGACAAATGTCACGAAGAAAACCTTCTGGGTACTGACTAATACTAAATGGGCAAGTATATGGATTTTGTAACATTTCTATTTCAATTTTTAATGTGTTTGCAGTATTCCTGTGAAGGTAAAATGGTATTTCAATAAATGTCAAAACCTGAGCATGATAATATAGTATTTCTGCCTGCATCAGCAGCAAAGAAAGCTTGTCATGAGCTGACAGTGATAGTGGAAACAGGAAGACATGAATAAGAGGTGTCTACACTGATTGGTTCTATTTCCTTATCTATCATTCATCCCACCAAGTAACCTAATCTTAATTCTGCCCCCTCAACTGTATCAAACCTGCAAGTTTAGGTGGCAAATGATCAGCATGTTGCCAAGGCGAATGGATGCATCTCTGCCCACTTAATTATTTGAACTCTTAGCAGCATAACTTTCAGAGTTAACCATTTCTTTTTTCACTCTAAAATAGACATTTAAAAACTAATTACAATGAATTAAATCTTAAATATGTTTTCCTTGAGTTGCTGGGTGGATATTTAACACTCCTAATAATTTTAAGAAGACTATAACTGCTGCCAGAATATTAAAGAATTTCTCCAGTTAGCCAATAGAAGAGGAGTATATCCGTTCTGAAATTATCAACCATGCAAGCACCAACTCAATGCTTCACAGGAAGCTTCTGGAATATCATATCCATGTCTTCTATTCCCTTAAATAAAACCAAAAACTTCTAATTTTTTATGGATAAAATTTCTATAATCAGTTGAAGTAATTCTAATTACTAATGGAAATCCCATAATCAGCTGGAAGTAATTCTAAGAAGAGAGAATGTTTCAGATAGGCAAACACATTCCTAATCCATAGGATTTGATTACATTTAAATAATCTGGCATTTTTGACATATGAAAGTACACTTTTACGAGATAGATAAATAACATCTATGAAATTGGTATCTGACTAATTCCAATGTTTCATGAGTGAGAGGAAGAAAGTGTTTTCCCAGGTTTTATTTGCTCACTATTCAGTTCATTTTAAGCACATCTTTAGCAATAGATTTATTTGGATATAAATGGGTTACATGTCTATCAATACTAGATATCCATGTAGCCTCTTTGCAAAAGAATATTAAGTAAACTTTTTAATTTAGATCACAGTCTGGAGTTGGTTTTTTTAATGCATTCTAAGAGATCAAAGTGTACTGGCATTCTCTAATTTAAGAACTTCATATATGAAGACATAACTGATTTCATTGTACAAATAGTGCAGACAGAAAATGTCAGTGGTCATTTACAGTGAACTAAGAAGAGATCACATGACAATTTAGCTGCTGCTTTAAGAATAGAATATTCACTTGTTTTTCTTCAATTACTGTAAAAATGTTACTAAATAATAGATTATTCTTTATCATAAAAATGTATGTGCTCTTGTACTTGCCATATGTATTTATACTACATATAATTTAAATGTTGGGCAGTTAGGTACAGGTAGGCACTGGGCAGGGGGAGAGGAAGGGGAAAGGAACAACAGAACACAAGGAACCTGAGCTGTCCATCAGCCCGAGCCAGGGAACCTGAGTTGTCAATCAATCGATCAACCAATCACGAAACCAGGATATAAAAAAAGGAAAAACAAAGGAACGGTGCCATTTTTCCTGTCTTGGATTGGCCTGCTCCCCCTTCTCGGGAGTGTACTTTTACTTTTTTTACTTCACTGATAAAAAGCTTGCTTATATCACACTTCCTGTCTCTCGTCAAAAATCTTTTTTCGGGTGACTAAGAAACAAGGTAATTTTTATTTTCCTTTTCCTGGTAACACAATTATGCATGTAATTATACATATGCTAACAATTACTATATATTATAAATATTATTTGATAATAAATTATATTAGTTTAGTCTTGTAACCAATTTAGTTTCCTTCTCTACCATACTTTAACAATTGAATTCTATATCCTACTTGACATTTCTAATTTCTTCACTTTATAAAATTAGTGGTTTAGATTCGATCACTTCTGTGGTTACCCCTAACTTTGAAATGCAGGACAAGGCATAGAATCCACACAGGTAAATACAAACTTACTTCCATTACTTTTAGCATTGTAATCTCCAAAAAAGTATTTATTCCTTCTCTAACACATCCAATATTAAGAATTAAATTACTTACACCGACTACCTGAAACAGTATGTGCAATTCTGTGTGTACAGGCATTTTTAGAAAGGAGTTTGGGGAACTTTCATTTGCATTTTAAAGAGATATATTAGTTTAAAAAGTTACATACTCATAAAGAGGTTAGAATAGGATTGTCAGTAAAGAACATCCAGTTAAGTTTAAATTAGAAAACAGTAACAATTTTTTTTAGTATAATATGTCCTATGCTATCTTTGCAACATACTTATGCTAAAAATGTATTTGCTGTTTATGTGAAATTCTCATGTAACTGGGTGACCTCCTTTCATGTGCTAACAGTGGTTTAGAGGTACTGCACAAGATGCCCGTCCTTCTCATCCTCCTTCTCCTTATTTTTTTGCCTAAAATAGCAACCTTTCTTTTATATTTCAAATCAATCTCTCAATTTCTGAGTTCCAAAAAGCAACCTCAGTTATTTTATAGCATTTAATCTCTCCCAATTTGATTCCTGCTCTATGCCAGACACCCTGTTTGATAGTATGGACCCAAAGATAAGCTAGATAAAAATAAGGCAATCTTGTTCCCTAGAGGATGTCATAATTTAGTGGTAAGATACATCACAGACGAGAAATAATTCCTTATGAAATAATATAATAAGATGATATGGGAGCAGTGGCAAGATGGCCCAGCTTTCTAGGGAGGCTGTCAGGCTTCCCATAACAATGCAAAACCCAGGCATCTTGAAAGATACAAGAATGCATTCCACCATTATGGAAATATATATAATGAAGTAGAGAATAAAGTACACTGTAAGGACAAAAATTCTTGTTCATTGGTTTAGCTCTAAAATATAGAAGTATACAAGATTTCCTTAGTAATGTCTCAGAATTTTAGATTAGACATAAGATATTGTGTTAAGCTTCAGACAAACTTTTTTTAACACACTGGTTTACATACTGTAACGATTTAGAGAGATTTGCTTCAGAGTCTACAATAGTATTCCTTAAAACACACTCCTTACAATGATACATTATATACAATCTGTGTATTCACGAACATCCTTACTATGTCAAGAAAGATAAGCTTTTTTTGCTGTTTTTAAAATTTGTTTCTTATGCAATTTCCTTCTTTTTCACCAAGTGAAATGCCCTTAGGAGCTGAAAGTCAGTCTCTTTCTCTCTCTCTCACACACACACACACACAGCTCACAGAATAAACTGTGTTACTTCAATGAGGGGAGGCAGGATTGCGGCACGAATGCTCAGTAGCATGCTATTAAGTATGTAATTCCCCTGGTGTTTGCAGTGATCAACTTTATGAATACCAGTTTATAAACATTTCTTTATAAAAGATTTAATGAATACACTGCCCATAGCTTTGTAATTACAAACTGGATTTTTGCAGAGTATTTGACTACTGCAACTTCTAGAAGTGTGTTACAGTATTTTCAAGGATAGGGTGCTGTTAGTGGTTGAACTGTTCCCCCCAGATTCATAGTTTGAAGTTCTAAACCCCTCAGCACTTCAGTTTGTGACCTTATTTGGAAAGAGAGTCACTGAAGGTATAATTCACTAAGTTAAGAGGTCATACTGGAGTAGGGTGTGTTCCTTACCCAATTTGACTGGCATCCTTATAAAAAAGGGATATTTGGACACACAGACATGTACAAAGACAGAATAGCACGTGAAGATGAAGGCAGAGATCCAGGCAATGCTACAGAAGCTAATAAATGCCAAAAGTTTCCAGTGAAGCACAAGACGCTAGGTGAGAGGCCTGAACAAACGGTGCTTTACAGCTCTCAGAGGGAACCAGTCTTGCCAACACCTTGGTTCAGACTTCTAGCCTCCAGAACAGTGAGAAAATAAATCTGTTGTTTCAGCCATCCTGTGTGCACTACTTTGTTACAGCAGCCGTAGCAAACCAGCCCAGATGCTCTCCCCTGCCACCCCCAATTTGCATGGTTCTCTCACACTTAGAGAAGACCTGCTAGAACGGAAGAATCATTTCTCACAACCAGTTTGTCTGCTGCTCTTCTACCCTCTCGTCAAATTTCTGCCCAATTAAATGTTATTTCAGTACACAAAGAGTTTTACATAATTGACAGATTTATGAAATATTGACATTTAATGCTGTGGTTCGAATGCAGAAGCAAAAGTCATACTCAGAGATAGAGCTAATTATTACATTTGATTATTATTAAAACAAACATACTGAATTCTTTCTATGTTCCAGGCACTGGGCTGAGGCCCGTGCATTGATTATCTCATTAATACCTCACCACAAATGTGAAATATCATGACCCTCATTTTACTTATGATTAGCTGGGGCCTGAAGATGTTCAGTAACTTGATAGATAGACAGAAAGAGACAGAGAGAGAGAGAGAGAGAGTCAAGTAGCTAATTAGCAGAGCCAGCGCTCAAACCCAGCAAGCTCCAGGGTCAACACATTTAACCACAATAACGGCTTTGGATGTGTACCTCATAAAAATAAAACGTAATCAAAACTGACATTACTCAATACCAAAACATTTAGAGAATGTCCTTTATAAAAGACGGGCAGTTCATTCTGATTACAATCAACACTTTAGGGGACAACCATACGCGGTCCCGCCATTCTCAGCTTGGAGCCTCCACCCCCAGCAAACCAAAAGACAAGCTTCTACCAGCTCCTCGTGACTCTGTGATGCTTAACGTGGGTGCTTAGGGAGCCAGGAGAAGGGGGATAGGACAGCGCGAGGCCCGCATCCCAGATGGACCTCCTCAGAAACAACCAAGGGCCTACAGGACCCGCTACTCTTACAGTGCTGTGCACCGCACCCGCAGGAAAATTTTCAAGAACACAGCTTACCTTTGGCGGAACTCTTCACTTGCTTAAAGCTGTCTTTTCGAGTTACACCTTGTCCTCTTGAATTCCTCCACTAACCACACAGCCCGTCTGTACTGCGAGCGCTCAAGGCCTGGCAGGCTCACAGACTCGGGCAGGCCTAAGAACACTCGCGGCCGAGCCGTAGGTGCCTCTCTCACGCCTTTATCGCGAAGGAGTACGCAGGCTTCAGTGGCGGCGGCGGCGGCGGCGGCAGCAGCGCCGGAAAGTCCCCTCCGCCTTATATAACAAGGCAAAAAAGCCGCCAACTACCCAACTGTTACCCAAGAGCTAACCCACACGCTCCCGCGGCAAGTCAGGCTTATATAGCACTGCATGGGGGCTGCGCATGCGGGGTAAGGCTGCTGAGTCACGGGGCACCGGATATCCGGCCGGGAAGCTTGAGTCCCCCGTTCTCCCGGCCCGCTCCTTGCCGCGGCAGCTGTACGTAAATCCTTACTTAAGCAACTTTTACTCTCCTCCCTAAGGTATTTATGATAAATACTTCCACCTGTTTCTCCATCTTTAATGATGGAAAAATGGAGCTATCAAAGCTTTAGTGCCTCCAGGTACTAACAAAAAGTGGATTTCAACTACTACTTCGTATCACCTGTTCTGCCTACAGAAAACCTGGAAAACATATTGAAGAGACTCTCTTCTGACTTTATTAATCTTAAGGGGTACTTAAGAATTTTATTTACACTTTGGTATACAAATAAAATTTACAAAGGAAAGCAACAGACCCCAGAAGAGCAGGTATATGTAGTTTGCTTTGCTTTCAGACCTAGATACGGTGAATAACTTGTATAAATCATGCAGGAGTCTTAGACAATTGTGTTTCTTGGGTCGAGCATCTTAATACAACTCTAAAACCTTCATAAAAATTCCTTGGTAGTTGGTCTCAAAACTCTCAAGCTCTAAAATATAAAAATTTAGTTATCTTTCTGTATCCATTTTGTATGGAGTCTTTCCAAAGAAGGACAATCTCAGAGGCAA